TCCGGGGGGGAAAAGAAACAGGCAGGGAGGGAGTTTCTGGAGCCGCAGCGGGAAACGGGGACCCTGCAGGGGAGGGGAGGGGGCTGCCCCTGCTCAGGGACTGAGCTGGGGGATGAGTGTGGCAGGAGGAGGCAGGGTCAGCCCCGAGGAGGATTTTTGCCCGGCACGGTGTGGGTATGGCCACCCACCACCTACCTTTAGGTCCTGTGTTGCCGATCTGCCCGGCAGCACCCAGGATGCCGGGGACGCCTCGAGGTCCCATGGGTCCGTGCGGGCCCTGCTCACCGGGTGGCCCGGGAGGACCAGGGGGTCCGGGGGGTCCCATGGCACCGCCTCCCCCCAGGCCGGCCCGCTGGGCGCTGACTGCCCCCTCCGCCAGCTGCTCTGTAGGGCAGAGAGAGGCCGGTGTGGGATGGAACATGGTGGCAGCCGCCCCGCCGGCGGTGCCCCGCTCGCCCCCTCTCCTTGCAGCATCTTCAGGACCACGTCAACGATGTGCTGGTCCCCAGCGTCCCGGCCCTGCCAGTGGTGAGAAGAGGGACACACCGTAAAGGGAGAGCGCTCCTTCCGTCCCCATCTGCACCCACAGAGCCGGTCCCATCCCAACCCCCCGGTCCAGAGCACCTCCCTGCCCCCGATGCTGCCTTCCCAACACTTCTTTGCTTTCCGTTCAGTCCCAGTACAAGTGCTCCAGCCTCAGCTCATGCCATGCCCGGCCACGCTGCAGTCTCCTCATGGCGTTAACGTTCTGCAGCCCCGTTTTGCAAGTCTAAAATGAGGCTTAGATGGAAAAATTCTGTCCCCCGGGCAGGCTGCAAAGGCACATATTGGAGCTAAACCTGCTGCTGGTGCTATATACAGTGAGAAATAAAGAACTCTTCTTTTCTAGAAAGGTGGGATCCCAGCTCAGCCCTCCTGGAGAGCTCGCAGGCGAGCACTGGCAGCTCCCGAGCCGAATGGCATCTGTTTCCCAGAGGAATTGGTTGGTAAGAAAAGGTCGGAGGCAATTCACCTGCAGAGCTGAACAAGCTGACGGCAGCAGCCCCCAGGTCACCACCTACGCGGTGCAGGAGGTGAGGAGGGGATGCGGGGTGCTCGGGGTACTCACCGCTATGCCCCGCTGGCCAGGCATCCCCGGCACGCCGAAAAAAAACTCGCTCCAAAACCCCCAGTCCCTCACCTGTCCCTTTGGCCCCGGCTCGCCCGATTCACCCTGGGGACAGAGGACACAAGAAATGCAATGGGAAGACAGCACGAATTTAGAGATGCAGCTGGGGGGAGGCACACGTATCCCCCCCGGAGCGCACCGTGGCTGCATTGGGGTGCAATGCTGCGGTGCCCGGGGCCACACCGGACAGGAGACCCCAGCACGGCCACAGCACGTGGGCAGGGACCCACATCCAGCCCCTGTCCCCCCCACCCCAGGACCCGTCTGTGGGGACCCACCTTCTCTCCCTTCAGCCCCGCAAGGCCATGAACGCCCGGGTGTCCCTAGAGGAAAGGCAATCAGAAATGTGAACCTTCACTGCCAGCACCCGTCTCCTCCGCAGCCACTTTAACCCCCCCTTTCCACCTGCTGCGCTCAACCGGGATGCCGGGGGTATAGACGAAGAAAGCGCCTGGTGTCAGTGGGTGTCAGCCCCCCCCAGAGGTGGGTGCCAGCCCTGTTAAACATGGGTGTCAGCGATTCCCCACCGGATCCCCCAGCCTGGGCAGGAAGGTGATGTACTCACAGTACCACCTTTGGAGCCGGTTTTCCCCAGGGAGCCCTGGAGAAAAGAGAGCGGGGGGGTCAGCCCAGCTCAGCGGAGATTCCCTGAGCTGGACCCCATCCCCTGCAGCCAGGAGCCGTCACCTTGTCTCCTTTGACTCCTGGCAAGCCTTGGGGTCCTGGGATTCCTGGTGGACCCTGCTCGCCCTTGGGCCCCTGGAGAACAAGGTAACATGGGGAAAAGGGAGAAGTGAGTGAGAAGAGGCCGTGGGAAGACTCTCCTCCCCCGTCGGAGCATCCTCTCCAAGGGCACCACCCTCCCAAGGCCAACGAGCGCCCGGGCCCGCTGTGCCTCTCCCCCAGCAGCTCAGGCTGCATCCCAGCCTGCCCTGAATCTGGCCTCTGTTGGGGGACAGGGCAAAAACAATGGAGGAGCCTCCCCTCCTGCAGTGCTGAGAGGGGGGGGGCTCCACCAGGGAAGGGGCCCCCGCTCTCAGGAAGCCAGAGGGACAAAGATCGCTTTTTGGCTATTTTCCACTCCGGGAAAGCCTCCAAGAAGGGCCGGGCAGCCTCCCCGCTCTCGCCGGGCTGGGAGGAAATTCCTCTCCCGGCTGGGGCTGCAAACCCAGCGTGGCCCCGGGCCCGCTAATCCCTGCGCTATTTGCCCCATGGGGTAATCCCTCACCCCGGCAGCCAGGCACAGCGGGACGGGGCGCGTGATCGACCCCGGCCATGATCAAAGCGAGAGGTCTGTGCAGCAGTGCCAGCCGTGCCCTGCTGTCCCCGTCCCTCCTCCCCCAGCCGAATGCCCCGGGCTGAGCATCCCCGAGCCGTGCCGAGGCGAAGCCCGCTTCCCAGCCCGGCTGCGAGTGTGACTCACCGCTTTCCCCTGCTCGCCGGGGGGACCCACGAGGCCACGCTCGCCCCGGTCACCCTGCGGAGACCCGGGAAGAGAGTAGAGTCAGGGACAGCTCCCGGCACCGCCACAAACCCTGTGGTGCCCTGGACTCACCTTCATCCCGGGGACACCCGGCGGTCCCTGCTCACCCCGAGGTCCAGGCTCACCCTAAGAGGGGGGAAAAAAAAAA